TTCCAGTAGGGGCATCGCAAAAGAAGTAAACATTTGTACACGCTACACTGGAAGTGTAACTTTTGGTCAGGGCGAGCAGAGTGCGGGACACTTTCTCCTATTGCTCCGTCCGAGATACACCATCCCGCCTAGCCATGCTAGCTTCACCCGTCTGTGGGCCCTAACAAGCTAGCGCCAGGTTTCGTTGAAATGAATAGGAGTATCTCACTCTCTGAAAATGTTATGCGTCCGATGTAGCAGGCCAGAAAAACGGTTTTTTTCTGCTTCCTCCCTGTTTAATTAAGAGATCAACAAGTTATGGCATTTATGCGTGTAAAAAACTATTTTCCCATTATCGGGCAAGTGACCATAATCTTCGGGCAACCCAAAAATACTGCTGACTTGGCCGATGGGAAAGTGCCTTTCAGACCTTAAAGTCAATCTCTGTGTAGGGTATGACATATTGATTCATCAGCTGCAAAATGGTTTTATATGGTGTATGATGAGAACAGAGTTTTTCAAATCAGGTAACATAGTTTTCAACTCCTGGAAAAATTCCTGGCCCTATAGGGAGGATGAAAATCCTGTCAAACTGCAGCAACCTTGTACTTGTTCATATAAAACTAGACTAACAGGGGGGTTTCTGTTACACAGAAAATACACTAGAAGACAATAGAATTAACAGGGCTGAGCTTGCTTTATGCAGGGTTGCATCATAAGGCCCAGGGATAGAAATGGCCAGTGCCCAGAATCCTTAGATTCCAGCCCTGTGTAGGCTATATACTGTACATCTGTAATTTAAAAGTTACAGGCGCATTAACACAGTCTAGCCCAGGGTTATCCAACCCTGTTCCTGGAGAGCTACCCTCCTGTAGGTTTTTGCTCGAACCCCAGTTGTAACTAACCTGATCAACCAGCTAATTATTAGAATCAGGTGCGCTAGATTAGGGTTGGAATGAAAACCAACAGGATGGTAGCTCTCCAGGAACAGGTTTGGAGAGCACTGATCTAGCCCATGTCATCACTATTTGTTGATTTTATTAATTCCAGTCAATAATTTTGATAGCCTAGCCAACCGAAGTTTGAATATAAACCAAATTTGATCACATTCACATTTTCTCTTAAGACAAACAAATTGGCTATAAATACATAACGTTACCGCTTTGTTTCCCCTGGCCAGATGGGACAGGGCGCATAGAGGCTAGGTCTACAGTTGATCAGACTGATTCAGCATGTCAGATCGCTAATGTTTAGGTGTAGGATGCTACAACATTTCTGTAAAGAGTTTTTCCCGTTTGCGAAAATAATACCGGAGCAAAGTGGCGAGAGTGATCTCCTCTCTATAGACATGCCCGACCCGTGCAACCTGTGATTTCCGTGAATCTGATTGGTCAAGACACACACACACACACAACCTGCAGCACTCTGATGAGAAGGAAATAGTGCGTGAGTTGACGAATTATGAGGCAATGCAATCAAAGTCAGTCTAAAAAACAGTAGCCCTACTTTGTCCCTGTTTTTAACGCTTTTGCACCAAAACATTTTAATTAAATCAAAAGTGCTGGGGCAAATGCCTGCTCATCACACGTTTTCCGACGGCCCTGTCTCACATGGTGGTGGGCTATAGGACCAACACAGGCAAATGTGCAAATGTAGGTCCACTTAGATCTGGTATCTGTGGTTACCACATACCATAATGCACAGCGGCAGAGTAGAGACCCTCTCACCATGGCAACAGGTGTTAACATTATATGGGACCACCCATACGTAAAAATGTATGCACACATGACTGTAAGTCGCTTTGGATAAAAGCGTCTGCTAAATGGCATATTATTATTATTATATCTCCCATTGAGAGTATGCCACATCCAGGGCCTGATTAACACAGGGGCTTACAGGGCCCAAGCCCGTAGGGGGCCCTTGAGGCAAAGAAAAATTGATATGTGTATATATATACATACATACATATACATACACTACCGGTCAAAAGTTTTAGAACACCTACACATTCCAGGGTTTTTATTTATTCTTTACTATTTTCTACATTGTAGAATAATAGTGAAGACATCAAAACTATGAAATAACAAATATGGAATCATGTAGTAAGCAAAAAAAATGTAACTAATCAAAATATATTTTATATTTGAGATTATTCAAATAGCCACACTTTGCCTTGATGACAGCTTTGCACATTCTTGGCATTCTCTCAACCAGCTTCACCTGGAATGCTTTTCCAACAATCTTGAAGGAGTTCCCACATATGCTGAGCACTTGTTGGCTGCTTTTCCTTCACTCTGCGGTCCGACTCATCCCAAACCATCTCAATTTGGTTGACGTCGGGGGATTGTGGAGGCCAGGTCATCTGATGCAACACTCCATAATATATACACACATACACACACAGTATCAGTCAAAAGTTTGGACACACCTATTCATACACTACCGGTCAAAAGTTTTAGAACACCTACTCATCGAAGGGTTTTTCTTTATTTTTTACTATTTTCTACATTGTAGAATAATAGTGTAACTAAATGTAACTAATCCAAATATATTTTATAATTTATTTTTCTCTGCAACCGCAAACAACAGGAGCCTGCCCTCAAAGAGTGTAGACAGCCTGCTGCTGCTCTGCTAATCATCAGATGGGGTGAGGAGGTAGGGGGCCCACGTTGGTAATTGGGGGGCCCTGCCTTGGTTGGGCCTATGATTTGTTAATCCAGCCCAGGCCACATCAATAACATGAATAGAAGAGGATATTAGCTAAGACTGTCTAGTCATGAACAGCAGTGGTAGTACAGTTACTTCCCACTGTAGGCCTAAACTGCAACTGTTACTGCACTGATAAATGCAACGGCTTGCAACTGTCGTGTCAGTGTGCATTAAACAGGATGCAATAAAAGTGAACTGGGACTACTGGAAAGCTGTTGGGCACCTAAACAGTGTTTGCACTGTGAGTTCCTGGAAAAGCACTCCATAAATCCAATTAATTCATTAATTGATTAAGGAGGAGGAAATGTTGGATAATCTAAGCTTTCTAATCTAATCTATATGTGTGTATTGTGTATGGGTGATACAGAAGAGCCTACACCTTTAAAGTCCAGAGGTCACATATTTATGGATGGTGCACACTTGATTTGTGTTCAGGGTCTTGAGAGAGTCTTTGAAAGAGGGAAAGAGAAAGAGAGAAAGGAAACAACTCTGGCTGTTTTTGAGCCAAGAAGTGCCTATTGCCTGGCAACTAGCTTAGACCTACTGTAAATCAAACAATACCAAGGACAAAACAATCAAATTCTTGGCACAGTGGGGAAACGCTGTACACTGCACGATTCCCTCAATCTGAATAGAACCAAATAGTGTCCTATGATCTGATTATATCCAGGTTATAAAGTGTAACAGTGGGGTTACATCCACTCATAAAGAGCTTAAAATGTGTCCATATTATAACACAACCAAAGGATAATTTGGGGGGAAAACGCCACCCTTAAGGGAAATGTCTATTTTCTAACAGAAATTAGCTACATATGTGCATCTGGCTATCCTTAGGCAAACACATTTTGAAGGGAAATAAGTGGGCAGAATATTTTGTTTTTTGTTATTCAATAAAAACAGAAACTTTAGAAAGGGGGCAAAATTATATAAGTTTTGTGGCATTTTTTAGTAATTTACTCTTAAAAGCCAGTCTTAGTATCTTATTTTAATTAAATCAAATATTGGAATAGAATGACATTGCACATCTCACTATTAATATATTTTTATTTTCACCCTTCCTGTCCAAATCTTCCTAAAGTATCTACAAATTGTGTAACTCAAAGAAGTTACTTATAGATGATTTGGACCATTGACTTGCATTGATTGACCTGGGGGCATTTTGCCCCACTGGAGGGGTTCGTTTTGCTCCAAACATACTCACTTTAAACTGATTACAATTTATTTCTAACCAAGTGTATTATTTATCTTTAGGCTCCCCTACTGGTATAAGTATATACAAAAAGTTTATAGATCTAACTTCATTAGATTTTATATATATATATTATATATTTTTTTTCCCTTCTTCTAAAGGACAAAATATTAGATCAATGTACCTCAATCGTTTTGTTGCAGTGACTTAAAGAGTTGAGATGAGACAGATTACATTTTTTGTTGAGCAATCCAGGGAAAGTGTTGACATTTTCTTGGGTGACAAAGTGGTTTCTGTGAGAATTACAGGAGGGGGCATTTAACCCCAAGACACCCTATAACCTGAGTTTAAGAGTCCCCTCTCTGCACCAATAATTAGTTCAGCTGCAGTCTCCTGCAAAACTCTTGTCATATGGTACAGTGTATAACACCAAATCAGGCCAGAGGGAACAATTATTCTATGTAAATTATGCATATGGTCTCCTATAGTAAAATAGGCTAAATAACATTAGATAAAAATACTATACATAGTCACCAAATTAATGTATAGGTCATATCAGCAGTTTCTTTTCAAGGGCCATTCGTGGTAGGCCTGTTTAAAATTCCCTAGTGATGGGTTGAAATCGCATGAGGATAGAAATTGCCTAATCAAATTGTAGTGTTGGTTGTAGTGAACTACATAGTGTTCTCTTCATCAATAATAACTCAATGGAACAGTTGCCTTACCTTTTGCGGTCCATTGGACAATTCACTTTCTACTGTCGAAGTCTGACTCATTTCTTGAACCAGGGTTATGTCCTTTGCGAGTGGTAAAACGTTGGGATTATTAATTTCGGTCTAGAAAAGCGCGAAACTGCATCCGCGGTTCTCGGTCGTTGTCTCCATCGAGTTGAGGGGTGGATGGCCGGGGACCCGAGAAATTGGCGAATTTGAAATCGGTTAAACTTCAGAGTTACTTTTTCGGGTCGGCTTTTAGGCGTGCAACCGAAGTCCTTCCATGCAGTCCTAGTGCCGCCGGGTATGAAGTTGGTGCTTGTTATGGCCATGGAAAAGTGCATGTGCGTTTATATTAGTTCTCTAGCTAGCATGATCTTCACCCCCTGAAATAAGGAGTTGATTCACTTTATTTAATGTCATTTCAAATTAAATAAAGGCCTAAAACAATGACCTCTTGTACTGCTGACAAAATCAAAGCAACATTTTATTAAGTATGATTGCACAATTTCAATGGCTGCTCAAAAAACAGTTGTTGCTTTACATTCGTTTTTCCTCAGAGTAAGACATGTCACACATTTGCATGAACGAGAACGAGGAGGTTCTTTAGCATATTAAAAAATTAAATTTAAATTTAAAAAATCATGCAGAATTCTGATTAACCCAATTCTGCTTCTGCCCCTATCCCTCTCTAACCCCACACATTTAGAGTTCACACTGCACAGTTCTGAATGACTGGACAGATGGTGCTATGGTGCTATGCCACTTTAGTGCAGGTTGGAATAACATTTGAGTACCAGCACCATTCTCATTCCACTCCATCCTCATTCCAAGAAGTGGATTCAGTCAGTAAAAACAATGCAATTAGGCCACCCTGTGTCTGTCTGCAGTCAATTACCCACTTCTCCATGGTGGATTGGGTGACTGGCCTTTCTGAGATATGGACTAGAACCGTTGAGAAACATTGGATGTCACTCAATCACTTCTCCTTTAACCCAAGGTTTGGGCGCTGGGCCCTGCTCCTTCTTGACTGTGGGTGTCTCTGTCTGGCATGTGTCATTAAACCTCTCCCTGGCCTTCTCCCAGTTCCTCTGGGTCTTGGTCCTACTCAGAGATCCAGCCTCGTCCACCGACACAGCAGCTCCCGCCCCAAAGCCTGACTGGGACTTCCGGATCTTCAACTGGATCTACGGGAAAACCAGAATGGTAGGAAATATCAGATCAGATGTGTGAGCAAAGTGAGAAAGAACTGGGATGAAATCACAACAGGTGGAGGATATTGGTTTGAGGTTTGGTCAACTTAAACTATAGCTATTCATTAATCCCTAGTTGAAATACTGTAGAAAAACTCCCATCTCTGAAAACTGGGAATACCAGGAGGAGAACCCCAATAGAAAGGGGGAAATTTTAATATTACCGGGTCTTTCATTCCGGCTCCATCTTTGCCCAGGCCTTCTCCTTTCTTCCAGCCCATCTTCTCCAGCATCTTCCTTCCCTTGTTGACTTCACTGATCTCACTGGACAAGGAGGGAAACAAGTACAAAAAGAGACAAGACAACCTCAGATCAATCCAGGACTTGGGAACTACTAGTTCTTACATGTGCATACGTGGCACACACACTTGCAATGACTCAACCAATCGGATGGCTACGTACACGTGTACAGAGGCGGGTGCGTCATCCCGTTGAAAGACTCCCTCGCTGCCCACGGTCTGACGGCGAGACTCGGCCCGGTCCACATACCTGGGGTTCCTCAGGGCTTTATCCTCCTCATACTCAGCGCTCTGTTGGGACAGAGAGAGACGAAGGAGACACTAAACACAGTAATATACTCACTGCTCTGTTAGCGACAAGGAAAGAACGGTCAACTATGGGACTGCTCAGTCTCTAGCAACTTAAATGTCAACAAGACTTGCTTGAGCAAAAACAGAACAGTTTAATTGGATGAAAACTTCTGTCAGATAACATCCATGTATGCACACATGACTGTAAGTCGCTTTGGATAAAAGCGTCTGCTAAATGGCATATTATATTACACAAAGAAGGTAGGTGGAGATCTGATTGACAAGGACATTTCCAACAAAGGATTACCAATGGAAATTATTAATCACTGAGTAATAATACAGCAGAAGGGGACATCAGATTAAGTTGTAGTGGTGGTGGATGAACCAGTCACTTACCTTCAGGCCATATTTAACCTTCATCTGTTTCAGTTCTTTCTGTCGGAGCAGCTCCTTGTCCTCTTTGGTTGGAGCTGGACCTGAGGAACAACACATCTGGATAGTTAGAGACTGGGCCATGTGTGTGTGTGTGGCATGGGTAGCTAGGTGTGTGAGCATTGCATTAGTGTTTGGTCTTATACAGACAACTTACAAAGATGGATGCAACACATTAGTGTCCGCAAATTAATCAGGTTGTTCTGTACCTGTCTGTAGCGGTTGGTTCCTCTGGTGTTTGCTGAGGTGAGCCATGACCTGTCCGGGTTCACAGCCGTCACAGGTGTCTGTCCCTGAGTGGATGTGGAAGGACAGAACCGTCTCTCCCATCTTCACCTCATCCCCATGGGTCAGAGGGCAAGGGTCACACTTAGCGTTGGGCTGATGGGAGGGAAAACAATACTGTTACTACTTCACTTTCCAACCAAGGTGTGTGTGTGTGTCTGTCCCACCTGTAGGATTCGGTTGCCATTGAGGACAGTTCCGTTCTGGCTCCCCTGGTCCACTAGCATGTAGCACTGTCGGTCCTGGTCAAAGTACACCTCTGCATGGAGCTGGGATTTACATAAAATATATAGACCCAATCAGTACCATTACGATTTAATTTGATGGCCTGCAGACTACTAATGCATGTAGCAGAATCTAACAAATAAATGAAATAGGTTGCCATACCTTACTGACTCCCATTTCAGATATACTGATTGCATGGTTCATATCCTTCTCCCTGAAAAGATAGACTTACTGTTTTAACGTATCTCAAAATGCCACAGGTAGTTTAAACTTCGATTTCAGAAATAATGATCTGAGCTCTCATTCCCCCTGGTGGTTAAATAGATGAACTCCTGAGCCGATTCAATCTACAGCGCTGTACTGACCTGCCAATGGTGGCTGGAGAGTCAGCTGTGATTATGAAGAGTGTTCCTGTCTGTAACACTGGAGATCTGACCACTGTCACCCTCACACAGGGCGGCCACACCACCTCAGCTACTGGGGACACGACACACACATCACATACATTGACATTACAATTCTGCTGAGCAAGATTTTAACTATAGGAAACATTGAGGAAGACAGATGAACAAATATCAGGTGGTGTTAGACTTCTGACAGAGTGCTTTGTTTCATTCTTCCTTCACCTTTAAAGAAACCCCAGTGAAAAGTGCATACAAAGCTATAATAAGAAGTTGACTGAATAACTCTAAACTGTGTCCCTCCTCCCCTCTCACCTTCCTGACTCTCCATCTCTGACTCTGAGCTGTATTTGGTGGGAGGAGGGGAGGAAGAGGTAGACTTCCATTCTCCCTCCGACTCTGTGATCTCCCCCTCCTCAGGATCATTGTTCCCACTCGAGTCATCACTCCGCGACGCAGACACTGCTTTAGCCTTCTTCTTTTTCTTGCTGAGTTTATCTGATTTAGCCTTCTTCTTCCTCCTCCTTGAGCTGCTCGCATCATCAGAGCGCAACCCGTCCTTCCTCTTCTTCCTCTTCAGCGAGCGTTCAGCATTCTTCGCCCGGCGAATCTTCAAGGAGCTTTTTTTCCGCGGAGGAGCGTCTGGAGTAAGAGACCGGTCCCTCTGCCTGCGCGAGGCCTCGCCCCTCTTGGGGATTCGCCGCTCCACCCACTCATCAAGGTCCAGCTCCTCCTCCTTTACCTTTACAAGGCCCTGTCAGTAGACAGGCAACCAATCAGAGGGGAGGATGCACCTAAAGCATCTCCAGAGAACTCCATTCACAGACACTGGAAACAAGAGGCTTTCTAGGAATTTGGACAGTGGGCTCTCTGCATCAAAACCTCCCTGTACTGTTTTGGGGTTATTTTTGGATATGGGTCTCAGTTCTCAAAGACAGTAGGCCTGTACTGCATCACAGCAAAGCCAATTTATTGACTCAAGCTGCAAAACAATGAAAGTGATCCTCAAAAACATCCTCCTGACCAGACAAAGCAGCCAAATCCCTGGCCTCTGAAACCTGCCCTTTTTTTGCACTAAAGCTGTGTAGCCTATACCTCATATCTGCAAGGGGTCTTTCTGCTGTTAAAGAATTGTTCTAAGTGTCTGTGTGAAAGATGTGAGACGTGTACCTCTACGGGAAGCTGAGTTCCAGAAATAGGAAATCTTCATGTTAGCCAGTGAGTTAGTCACGTCTTCTACCTATGACCAGAGGAATAGCATTCAGTCAACTAAACAGCAGCTGCAAGCAATAGCCAAAACTCTGTACTTGACAAAAATGTATCTGACTCTACAGCAGAAATAACCAAAACTATAGCTGCTGCAGTCAGTCTAAAATCACCCCTGCAAGTATTTGAAAACTGAGACCACATAAATCATGGTTAAAATGGATCCTAAGAAGTCAATTACAATCTCTAAACTACTGAAGGTGAGATGCTTCAGGAGCCTCATGTCTCAGGTCAGCCAATGAACACAAATCAAAAACAGTAAGGATAACAGGTCAGTTGTATACAACAGTGAGAAATGTTGAGCTAGTTAAAACATATAAATTATCCCTTCTTAATCATTATTTAAAAGGAACATAAATCCAGAATTTGCTGTAATTCTCTTGTAGTGATTCTGGTTTATCTCTGGTACGGTCACCTACCTTATCATCCTGACGAGAGGTTCTCTCTGGAACTTTCTTCCACTTCCTTCCTTTCTTGTCTAGGCTCTTTATCACCTGGCTGGTCTTTGAGACAGGCTGTACAGTAGGAACCTCTATCCTGGAGTGGAACTGGTACTTGCCACTCTCTGCATCGTAGTAGTAGTACATCCCTGTGTTGTTATCATAGTACAACTGACTGGCCTAGGGGAGGGAGACAGTGACACAATTAAAGAGTGTTAAATAATGGAATAGTGATCGTGTGTGTGGGTGGTTTAGTACCGAGTCGTAGTAAAAGCCAGTGCTGTGGTCGTAGTACATCCCAGTTGTCTCATCAAACACAAAGCCAGTCTGTGTCATGGCCTGCTCAGCTGTGGCTCTCAGCATGTCAGCTATGGAGTCCGTATCCACTTCCTGCTGGAACAAACACAAGTAAAGAAAGTAAAGTTCCCAAACCGTTTTTGCACGGTGTCGGTCATCAACCTAAAACCTTCTAGTATTTATTGTGCCCTTCCAAATAGACATCATGATCATGTTTCAAGCTAATAGTCTTCTTTAGCCACGGCCCATGAAAGGAGTGATTGTGGTCACGTATTAGGGAGATCAGCACTTGTCTTCCAAAAGTAGTCTTTTGGAAGACAAGAGACACCTCACTGTCCTCAGTCAGAATAGAATGAGTGGAGGGACGGTAATCAAACTCGCCTCTGGTTGAGCAGCAGCAATACCACCCTCTACTGACACCTCTGTAACCATCGCTGTGGCTGTGTCTGTCATTGTGTCTGTAGCTGTGTCAGTGGTTGATTCTGCAGCTGTCATCACTGAGGCATCAGTGGCTTCCTGCCCCTCTGGTGTCACGGTCCCCTGCGTGTCTGTAGCCACACCATCACCCTGGTAGTACCCTCCTCCATAGTAGTAGCTGTAATAATCTGGAAATCACACAGAGAAGGCTCAATGCATCTATCTGTGAGTGGAGCAACATAAAACCAAATGTTTCATTTAATCACAAACTGCTGGTCCTGGGAAATAAGAATGGATGGTGGTTAGATTGCTCACCAGTTTCTGACCAGCTATATTCCTCGGTCTGTGTCTCAGCTTCAGCTCTCTCTTTCGCCTTTTTCTTTCGTTCATGAATCTCTGCACTAAGCTTGTCGACCTATTGTATCAAATCATGTCAAAGAAAAAAGTATCACAGTCAGTTGTAAATTGACTCATTTGTGCATTTCACATACTTATTTAATGATGGCTAGATTGTTCTTGGTAGCTACCTGCTTCCTCAAGTCTTCATTGTAGCCTTCTGTGCTCTTCTGAAGCCTCTCAGACTTGGTCAGTTGTTTCTGTAATTTGGCCAGTTCTTTTGTGCAGGTTTTCAGTTCTTGCTGTAGCGACTCTACTTTCTGGCGAAGCTCAGCCACCTCGGAATCCGACCCCTCTTCTCCTCCACTCGCCTTCTCTCCATTTGTCGCCATACTCCCGGCTGTCATTGACACACAGGACCACAACGTGTAAAGTGATTTCTATAATATGCTAGCTTTATTATTTGCTATATTGGTATGCATTAAAGGGTAGGCCAGCTCTCAAACACTAGGCAGCATTCTGCCTTCTCCCTACAGATCTCAGCCATTAGCTTCACCCACGACTGCTTCATGTGAACTATACTGTGTTTTAATGTTTAGAAACGTCAATAATCATCGCTTGCGATACGGCTTTCGAAACATATGGCCCTTATCTTTCATCAGCGAGAAAGAATCCTTCAAATTAAAATATATACACTTACTGCAGCAGTTTTGCACAAATCCATACAGCTATGGTATCTCCATCTGACAAAACTACACTTCCCAAGTTAGGCTTACACACAGATGTTCGGAGCATGCTAGATAGCTAATTAGCATAGGTGGTTGCCTCGTTTTCTGTCTGTTTTCTGTAAACATGCGCTGTAATATGGAGATATGGCCATGTGGGAACACTAACCCTAACAAGGTGTGTATCTATTTAACCTTTAGATTGAAAAAAAATGACCACCTTCCGGAGACACTTGAAACCTTACCTCTTTAAGGAATACCTGGAATAGTTCAAAGTAATCCTTCTACCCCCCCCCCCCCCCCCCCCCCCTCACATTTTTAAAACGTTTTTAAAGTGGTTGTCCCACTGGCTATCGTAAATTGAATGCACCAATTTGTAAGTCGCTCTGGATAAGAGCGTCTGCTAAATGACGTAAATTAATTTCTCGATGATATGAAGTTAAGGTTCTTATGCTTCCAAAACCCTACTGCAAGCGATGTATGTTAATGTTCAGCCCGAGCGTAGGGGATCTTAACAAAACTCCCTCTTAGAGAAGACGCCTTCATCCAGTGACTTATGTGTAATGGAATGGAATGGAATTAAGAGTCATGATCAAAGGCTAGGGTAGTCCTAGTTACTATGTAAAAGCTAGCGTTGTTATCGCCATTATGACTTGTGGGCTTCCTGACCATAATAGCTGTTAGGCCAGGCTTTAATCCGTTTCTTTTTAATAAAGGTGCCTTGTATTTCCAGAATGTTTAATAAACTGTAATTTGAATTTACCTGACACATGCGCAAAACCATGTATGGAATTCGCATGTTTCAGGCGTGAACAAACCGTGAGAGCCACGCACAGACCGAATTCTGCTATAGATATTGTCTCCAATTACCAACGGTATAAGGACGAACCAAGCGGAAAACCTGTATAGTAAGTTAAAATGAGTTATCTTACCATATCAATGAATGAAGGCGCAAACGCTAGCTATCTGCTAACATGTTGTTAGCTGTGGATGGTCTTACCGATTCGTTTGTTTTCTTCGCTTGGACGATCGCCCTCGTTTCTCTCCGCAAAGAATATCAACCTGAAAGATTAACATAAACATATTGTAACCACCATGCATTGCTGACACACCCGACCACATGTTTTGTTGATAATAAAGAAAGTTACAATTGGTACAGTTGATGTGTTTACAATCCACTTCGACCGTGGCCGCCATTTTTTCAAGAGACGTAATTCTATCTTCTTCTACGGTACAAGAGCCACCGCTGGCTTAGAGCGCCACCCGTGGTTTGGAGTTAGAATAGGTCGAGTATTTGGAAATAATGTAACTAATTATCTCTGGTTGAATAAAAAATACACTCATATTTCAGAGGTTTGTGTTCTCAAAAATAGGTGATGGTATCGAATATCAGTCAAAACATGTTAGGCTGTAGAAATGTAAATACTACTGCACTCACTTTACTGTCAATAAATACTTCCACATAAAGACCAGCAGGGGTCATGACGAGTATGGCTGTTGAGATTATGAGCAAAATGTGTGCAGTCAGTGTGTGTTGTTTGGAAACTCTGCCAAGCATTGCTTTCCATTTCTTGACTGTTCGAAATCCAAACATTAGGAAATTAAACTTTTAAGTGTTGTCTCCAGAGTAAAGTTGAACAACTTCAACAAATCACACAAATGACAAAATGTGTGTGTGTATATAAATGAACACCAAGTGGGCCTACAGGTGAGAAACTCCATTAAAAGTGACACACTCTTCTTTTTCTCAACACCTGTGAATAACACTTTCCCTTTAAGTCCAAGTAGCGGCTAATGAAGAGTCATAAGCCCTATTCACACGCTACTTGTATTACTAGAATGTCAGTTATGTAATTATTACCCCAGCCAGGGACGGCTTGTTCAATAGGGCGATATGGGCGACGCACTGCCAAACGGGAAAAGGAAGGGATTTTTTTTCTAATCAATTATATCACGGCAACAGCAGTTATCAGTGTTCACGTCTGATCTGCCAGCCACTAAATGTCAAATCAGGCTAAAGTCGTGCTTCAAATGGCCCCGCCCGTTTTTGGGGCGATTTCAGTCAAGTTGAAAATCGCCCAGAAGTCTCTCATAGCCTGTCATGTAAAATCTATTTTTTTTCACATTTCAAAGCTTTCAATACATTCTCTATGGGTGTCTGTGGGCTTGCACTTACGCGCTTTCGTCATACGTGACGTAACGTTGAACGTAACTAAGACAATGGCGGCTAGAAGCGTCTCTGTTGCGACCTGCAGTGCGGCGTTATTTTATGTTTTTAATTTGTAGACTTAGTTTACAAACATTCTGCCAACCATGGATTTCCAGTGGTTGGTTTTGGACTGATCTTGTTGATCGTGTACATACCCGCTACGAACGGACTAAATAATGAAAACGCTGCTGGCAGCTGAATCCCAATACAGCTGGGAGACTTGGCTGGATGAGTCCCGGACAGAGAAGTGGAGCCGGCCACCTTCACCCTGGTCAGAGCGGACCGCGATCCTGGTAAGAGAGCGACTCTGTACCCCGACATTGAACTGCTTTCTGTGTCATTGCGACCTTACTATCAATTCAATTCAATTTAAGGGCTTTATTGGCATGGGAAACGTGTGTTAACATTGCCAAAGCAAGGGAAGTAGATAGTAAACAAAAGTGAAATAAACAATAAATATTAACAGTAAACATTACACTCAGAAGTTTCAAAAGAATAAAGACATTTCAAATGTCATATTATGTATATATACAGTGTTGTTACAATGTGCAAATAGTTAAAGTACAAATGGGAAAATAAATAAACATAAATATGGGTTGTATTTACAATGGTGTTTGTTCTTCACTGGTTGCCCTTTTCTTGTGGCAACAGGTCACAAATCTTGCAGCTGTGATGGCACACTGTGGTTTTTCACCCAGTAGATAAGGGAGTTTATCAAAATTGGGTTTGTTTTCGAATTCTTTGTGGATCGCTGTAATCTGAGGGAAATATGTGTCTCTAATATGGTCATACATTTGGCAGGAGGTTAGGAAGTGCAGCTCAGTTTCCACCTCATTTTGTGGGCAGTGTGCACATGGCCTGTCTTCTCTTGAGAGCCAGGTCTGCCTACGGCGGCCTTTCTCAATAGCAAGGCTATGGTCACTGAGTCTGTACATAGTCAAAGCTTTCATTAAGTTTGGGTCAGTCACAGTGGTCAGGTATTCTGCCACTGTGTACTCTCTGTTTAGGGCCAAATAGCATTCTAGTTTGCTCTGTTTTTTTGTTTGTTCTTTCCAATGTGTCAAGTAATTCTCTTTTTGTTTTCTCATGATTTGGTTGGGTCTAATTGTGTTGTTGTTGTTGTTGTTGTCCTGGGGCTGTGTGGGGTCTGTTTGTGTTTGTGAAAGAGGCCCAGGACAGCTTCTTAGGGGACTCTCTCCAAATCTCTTGTAGGGATGGCTGTAGGAAGTTTGGGACGCTCTTTAGTGTACTATCTGCCCCCCCATTGTTACGTTGTGTACTTGATATCACAAGTTGGAGAACTGAGCCAGTGAACTTTGGAAGGGTGATATGGTATAATAAAGCAGTTTTTCAGAAAAGTATTGAATCGCGTGACGACTGTGACGTGTGTAGGTCACCTAATCATCGAAAATGCCCTGAAATTTTTCGAGCGCATGACCCCAGCATGTCTATTTTCCCAGAGGATGATTCAAACGGTATTAGTTTTACCAAACTGCCTCCTGTTATATATTTTTCTCATTAAAAATGAACTGTTATGCCTGAAGCCTGGAGGCTGTCCTAGGCGTGAAGATATTTCAACTTGTCTAGGGATAGCCTAATATTGGCTTTCAATTTGGAGAAAGTCAAAATAATGTAAATACGAACCATTAACTGTATGCAGACATTTAATTAACTGATGTATTTGGTACAATAATATCCTCTTAATGTTTTAAAAGAGAAATAGGCACTGGGAAAGTTAATATGACAAAACAGATCATCCATCTGTAGGCTATGTGCATTAGCACTTTGTTTTAAGCATACATTTGTTCCCATGTTCTTACCCAAACTGTGAGCAGCACCTGTTAAATGCTGTTATACCCCTCAAAACACAGGGATGACGATTTGCATGGGAGAAGTATTATCAGAGGACCTTGAAGTTTGCAGAAAAAAATTAGGTTAATCTGGCTGGAATTATTACTCTCCCACCATGTGAAAATTACTGACATGGCAGATTCGCACAGGACTAAAATTAAGGATGTGGTGTTTTGGGCACCCGACCTTCCCCAGTAAAACTCATCCCATCAGAATACACACACATACTAATGAATGTGACTTCCTGTTACTCACTGAGAGGAAGAAGTCAGTCGTCTTCTAATTGAATGGAAATACAGGCTTAATTAGTTGACTCATTTTACAGGTGGAGATAATGGAGGAAGCATAGAGGGCCGGGGAGCACACACATACACACACACACACACACACACACACACACACACACACACACACACACACACACACACACACACACACACACACACACACACACACACACACACACACACACACACACACACACACACACACACACACACACGAAGTGTGATGATGAGTGATTCATGTCATGCACAAACCATTAGATTTAATGCACTCCAACTCCCTAAATTGGTATTTGCATTCCAGGCGTAGTGATGACCTCATTGTGTTGCTGCTGAACGTTCAAGAGGCTTCAAGATACAAGATACTTCTATCTGCCTCTCTCATACACACACACACACACACACACACACACGAACACATGTGCGTACTCCTCTATCCCTCCCTATTTCCTTCCACCCTTGTGTCCTTTAGCTCTTTCCCTCCCTCCATACTTCCATTCTTCCCTCCATCCCTTCCTGTACTCCACACTATGGGGTGTTAATCCCTCTGTTTTCTGCCCAGACAGCAGAAGTGTGTAGATTATCGTGTTACTCCGTAAACAGCTTTTAGTTTCCCTAAATCAGGATTCTGCATGCTGGTTCCTAGTCAAATGAATTCACCACACTTCAGTGGTCCAGATACACTTGGCACTGTGGGGGTGTTACATGTTTTTCTGCCATTGAAATCATTGAAGCTTTTTTTTCCGGCGACCTAAATCCAAACAGTGTAAAATATATAAATTATATAAAGTGCCTTCAGAAAGTATTCATACCACTTGACTTATTCCACATGTTGTTTGAGTTCCAAATTGATTAAATATATATTTTTCTCACCCGTCTACACACAATAGGCCATTATGATTATTATTATTAATTATTAATGACAAAGTGAAAACATGTTTTTAGAAATGTTTGCACTTTTATTGAAAATGAAATACAGAAATATCTAATTTACATAAGTATTCACACCCGAGTCAATACATGTTAGAATCACCTTTGGCAGCGATTACAGATTTAATTGTAATTTTTTGTCAACAATCTACACAAAATACTCTGTAATGTCAAAGTGTAAGAAAACTTAAAAAAAAACATTTATGGAAAATAAAATACTAATATACAGTGGGGGAAAAAACTATTTAGTCAGCCACCAATTGTGCAAGTTCTCCCACTTAAAAAGATGAGAGAGGCCTGTAATTTTCATCATAGGTACACGTCAACTATGACAGAAAAATAGAGAGAAAAAAAATCCAGAAAATCACATTGTAGGATTTTGTATGAATTTATTTGCAAATTATGTTGGAAAATAAGTATTTGGTCACCTACCAACAAGCAAGATTTCTGGCTCTCACAGACCTGTAACTTCTTCTTTAAGAGGCTCCTCTGTCCTCCACTCGTTACCTGTATTAATGGCACCTGTTTGAACTTGTTATCAGTATAAAAGACACCTGTCCACAACCTCAAACAGTCACACTCCAAACTCCACTATGGCCAAGACCAAAGAGCTGTCAAAGGACACCAGAAACAAAATTGTAGACCTGCACCAGGCTGGGAAGACTGAATCTGCAATAGGTAAGCAGCTTGGTTTGAAGAAATCAACTGTGGGAGCAATTATTAGGAAATGGAAGACATACAAGACCACTGATAATCTCCCTCGATCTGGGGCTCCACGCAAGATCTCA